ATATATCAGTTGCCCTTCTAAAAAACATGTACATCCTGAATCCTACCCATCAACCTTTTATCCACCAATATATAATCTAACAAACTACTTGTATTACGTGCTACATCATACCTTGTATATTTATTTATCCTCTTTTTCATGAAATATGTATTACTTATTACCAAACCTGTTTCTACACATAGCTCAATTAAAGGCTCCCCATTTTCATTTACCCTTGGCACTCCAAATTTTCCTACTACTACCTCCACAACATTTTTACCCACTTTAGCATTGAAATCCCCAACCACAAGTACTCTCACACTTGGTTCAAAACTCCCCACACACGGTCAACAATTCCCAAAACCTCTCTCTCTCTCCTCTACACTTTTTCCTTCTCCAGGTGCATATACACTTACTATAACCCACTTTTCATATCCAGCCTTTATTTTACTCTACATGATCCTTGAATTAATACATTTATAGTCTCTCTTTTCCTGCCATAGCTTATCCTTCAACATTATTGCTATTCCTTCTTTAGCTCTAACTATTTGAGACCCCTGACCTAATCCCATTTACTTCTCTTGACTAAAACTCTCCCACCCCCTTCAGCTTTGTTTCACTTAAAGCCAGGACATCCAGCTTCTTCTCATTCATAGCATCCACAATCATCTCTTTCTTATCATTCGCACAACATCCCCGCACATTCATAAATCCCACTTTGACAGTTTTTTCTTCTTTTTAGTAATCTTTACAGGAAAAGGGGTTACTAGCCCATTGTTCCCGGCATTTTAGTTGACTTTTACAATACGCATGGCTTACGGAGGAAAGATTCTTATTCCACTTCCCCGTGGATATAAAAGGAAAAGCAATAAGAACAAGAACTATTAAGATAAAATCAAAGAAAACTCTGATGAGTGTGTATAAATAAACTTGTACATATATGTGTAGTGTGACCTAAGTGTAAGTAGAAGTAGCAAGAGGTACCAGTAATCTTGCATATTTATGAGACAGACAAAAGACACCAGCAATCTTACCATCGTGTAAAACTATTACAGGCTCTCGTTTTACACTCGCTTGGCAGGACGATAGTACCTCCCTGGGTCGTTGCTGTCTAACAAACTTACTACTACAAAATAAATACATGAACAATTAAATCAGTATTACATACTTTTATTGAAGACTGTTGTTGGCTTATGGAAGATAGGGAGGAGAGAGTATTGTTTGGAAGGGTTATCTCCTTCCATAAGGACTTAAGGTATCAAAGCCCTATCTGGGGTTACTTCCCTTCTTTGTCTTTTAATGCCACTAGGACCAGCTTGAATCACTGGACCCCTGTCAAACAAAATATCTGTCCAGAGAGCTCTGTTTCTGGTGTCTCTTGAAGATTTTCCTGAAGTGGGACAAGGTTCTGTCACTGAACCTGTTGCAGACATAGCTTGTTTCAGCTTGGCCAGGGTGATATTTCTCAGCAAAAGCTTGCACTCTAGTCCACATTGCACAAATCTCCTTAGACTCCCTCTTCCTCCTCCTCTGAAGCAAGTTCCTGAGCTGTGGTCTGTTGCTGTTCCAGATGAAGCTCTTGCAGCTCTTCAGTGGTTAGCTCTTCCCTTTGTTCCTTCACCACCTCAGTAGTGTTAGCACAGAACAGAAGAGTAAGCCTGTCTTTCATAGGCTTGTGTCCAGGCAGGGCCTTTTCATCCTGCATAATGTAGGTCCTCTTTGGCATTTTCTTCCAAAACAGGCCTGTCTCGTCATGAGTGAACACTTGTTGGGGGAGGAATCCTTTAGCCTCTACATACCCCTTGAAATCTTGCACAGATTTTTCAGCCGCACGTTTATCAGAACTTGCAGCCTCTCCATGCCTTACCACACTGTGTATGCCACTATGCTTCTTAAGTCTCTCAAACCAGCCTTTGCTGGCCCTAAATTCACTAACAGCAGCACTCGTTCCAGGTACACGTATTTTGTTTACAAGATCTGCTTTGCCTTCTCACAAATCACTGACTCCACATTATCTCCTGCTAATTGTTTTTCCCTGATCCACAACAATAATAACTTTTACATATCTTCCACTATTGGTGACCTTTGTTTTGTTATCACATTTACTCCTTTCGCAACATCAGCTTCCTTGATTTGTTCTTTCTTTGCTAGGATGGAAGTGATGGTAGATTTGTTTTTCCCATACATCCTTTCAAGTGTTTCTTACTTTCTTTACCACAGGAACTTTACTAGGAACTTTCTTTGGGGCCATGCTTACTTATTTTGCAGTTGCGCTTAGTAAATAAAGAAAAACGCTGATTTATATCAAAATGTTTGGATGAATGAGCAGAAGCTTCCTCACTGGGCCAGCGACACAGCTACACTGACTCAGGAATGCGTGAGCGTTGCTGGCTGATAAGCGTCCAATACAGCCTATAAGTGAAATAACGGCCGATAACTGGAAGCCGAGAACCGGCCGATAAGCGAGTTGGCCGATAAGCGGAACGGCCAACAACTGAGGGTTCACTGCATTACTAATGGAGATGTGAAGGTTTGTAAGTGATGTTGATCTTTTTATGGCAACATGAGTGCTTGCCATGTGAAGGAAGTTGCTGTGTTTTAGTATGCTTTTACAATTTCCATTTTTTCTCAATTTTAATGGATTGAATGTTTTATACGTACATCTGTGTTTTCATATATTTCACTTGTATTTATTGTTTAATCATGCTAAACAAATGTAAATAACTGTAAATGGCATTTACTAGCTCCCACAGTGCCCAGCACACAACACAATTTTTTTTTTATTATGCACACCTCTGGCACAAGCCTGTTTTAACCCTTTGACTGTCGAAGGGCCCAATCCTGAAGTTGCTCCTGGTGTCGCAAAATATTTGAAAAAAAAAAATTATTTTTTCTTATGAAATGATAGAGAATCTTTTCCCGATTGTAAAGACACCAAAAAAACGAAATTTGATGGAAAACTGACGGAATTACGCTCTCGCGAAGTTAGCGACTTCGGCGATATTTAAAAATCGGCAATTTCGCCCACTTTGAGCCCTATTTTCGGCTAATTCCGTTATTCCAGTCAACCAAACTCATAACTATTTCTTCAGAACTCTATTTTTTCTATCGATTGAGCACAAGAAACTGCCCATTTACCGATTTCAACTACCCAATAACATGGTCAGAAATTTGCAATTTGGCCAATTTCACGAAAATTAAAAAATACGACAATTTCAAAATAAGGTCCAGAATGAACAATGCAGACATTCTGGCTCTAAAATAAGATTTTCTTTGTTCATCAGTCATGTCTCCAGGTCCCTGTGATATTACTCTTGCTTTTTATTTTGAAATTTTATTCAAACAAAAAATAGAAGATTTACTGTTATGCAGACTACTGCAATACTGTAATAATTGTAAAAATTACATCAACCCATTCATGACTGCGTATTAGAATGGCTATTTGGACATTTATTGGACAATGACATCATTTGTTTACTTTTGAACATCGGCAAAAATCAAACATTTCCTGTACTTTGTGCTCCATTTCCAGGTTCTTTTTATAGTAAAATTAATCAAAATCACCTCCATTTCTATAATATAGTTTCCATTCTATCAAATGAGACCATGAAAACGAGAATACAACCACAAATACTATACGAAAATAGACCACAAAGTCTGCATTTTAATTAAAAAAAACGGTCGGAGTTTTTTTTTTCTCATTATGCACTGCGTGCTCCAGGATTTTTTTTATGTGGTGCACACTGACCACACAGACCCATTCTCTCACATGTGGGCCTACTAGCTTTCTCCTGCCTGATTTGAAGCCGCTAGAATTTATGAGTATATATACGTCAAACACGGTACCTCACAAACGTATATATACGGCCGCGACAGTCAAAGGGTTAAGATAAGATTTTGTTCAGATTTTTAACCTCGAAGGGTTACCCACCCAGGATAACCCAAGAGACACAGTGTGTCATCGAGCGACTGCCTTTTTTCCATTGGGGGGTCCTCAGTCTTGTCTCCCAGGATGTGACCCACACCAGTTGACTAACCTATTTGCTTGCTAAATGAGTGGGACAACAGGTGTAAGGAAACATGCCCAATGTTTTCACCTTTGCTGGGGATCGAACCACGGACACTCAGGGTGTGAATTGAGAGTGTTGCCTACCAGGCCATGGGCCACTGTTTTAACTAGTCCAGTCAGGACCATTTTGGAGGCCCTAGAATTTTGGCACAAATTTTTGTCAAGTGGCATTTTCCCAGGTGGCATAAATTTGTCATTATCAGCTTAGGGGTTAAACAGTTTCTGTGTCTGTCATAACAGCTTAATAGATTTGATGCACAAGATATTCCAGATGGAAAGAAAGTCAAGTTGTCTAATAGTCAGTAGGCTGTTCTTCTCCAAGCATTTTATCTCCAGTAAATATAATGCATTACACAGCAGATGGTTTAGATATGTGGAGGGTAGTGGCACATTGTGGAGTGTGGTGGTGGTGGTGTGGAGGGTAGTGGCACATTGTGGAGTGTGGTGGTGGTGGTGTGGAGGGTTGTATGACATAAAGTGGAGGAATGTAGTGTGTGATTGCATATTATGGAGGGTAGCCATGTATGGTGGCATATTATGGAGGGTAGCAATGCATGGTGGAATGTTGTGGAGGGTGGTGATGTGTGGTGGTATACTGTGGAGAGAGGTGATGTGTGGTGGTATATTGTGGAGGGTGCAGCACACCTGTAATAAATTTTGCTTTAAATAATTTCATGTATAGTACCTACATATGTCATAAAAAGAATTACAGTAGCTCAAGGAATATGATTTGTTTTGTTGCTCACTGAGTTGCACAGTGGCCCTTCTCTCCTTTATAACCCTGAAACCATCAGCTTCAGTACAGTACTGAGATCATGCAGCCCTTTAGCTGTTATGACTTTTAAATGTATTTACATTTATTAACATTTTATGTAAATGACAGGTTTCACATTACTAGAATACATAATTTATTATGTAATAGTAGTGTTTAAAAGTAATATGTTTCTTGCAGTTTATCATTGGTGTGAAGTTCGTATGAAAATGTATGTGATGAATCTTGGTCGGACTGGACAGAGTAGCACGATACCCAGGTTAAGCGAAGAGGCTGCCATTGAACTTGGGGCAAATTTACTAGGTAAGAATGGCTTATGTTGTTTAGAAAATGTACTTAAGGATTCTTTACATTATTGTAGTTATTAGGTTCATAAAAATTGAAGTACTGTAGATATTTTTCTTCAGAATATATATTTGTAAAAACAGTTTTTGATATTATTGTATTTGAACTAGCACAGTGAATGCCATTTAAAATGTTGTTCAACAAATATTAACACTGACATTTGAAAGGAAACATTTATATTTTTCTTATTTTTTACTATGGTAGGGGAAGGTGTTATTTTTGGAATTGCTGTTGCAATTCTAGCTTATGAAGTTTCACGTCAGAAGGAGAAGGAAAAAAAGAAAGAGGAGGCCGAGCAGGCATTTATCAACAATCTTGAAACTCGAATAAATGAATTAACTTTCTCTAGTGAAGAACTTGACACTAAAGTCCGGGAACTCACAAGACTTTCTTATGCCCTGCAGAGTCAACTGAAGACAAAAGAGGTATGCAATGTAGACAGCACTTTCTGCTGTGTGGTTTCTATACACATTGTGCCATCTATAATGTACTGTACAACAATAATTCCTTCAGAATTTTCAAACATTCATTCCTTAAAAACATATTTTAATGCTGTCATTTATGCACATGGTTATATGAAGTTTTAACTCATGAGTTGAATATTTAAAGTGTTCACATAATAGTACTGTACATACAAGTTGGCATTCGAGTTCATACGATTGGGTTAAGAACTTGTGATATTTTAACTCTTTCAGGGTTCAGACCCCCAATCTGAAACTTGTCGACAGGGTCCAAGAATTTTCAAAAAAAAAAAAATATTTTTTATGAAATGGTAGAGAATCTTTTTCTAAAGATAATAAAGCAAAAAGTACAAAAATTGATGAAATTACACTTGGGTAAATTTTGCTACATCAGCTATATCGACGCATCGGCGATTTTGCTCAATTTGTGTCCTATTTTAGGCCAATTACATTGTTCCAGTCAATCAAATTCTTAGCTATTTTACTTTCCATTTTATCGATTGAGCTCGAAAAACCGCCCAAGCAATTATTTCAACTACCCAATAGTGATCAAAACTGGTAATCTGGCCAATTTCACACAAATTTCAAAATAAGGTCCAGAATAAACAATGCAAGCATTCCTGGCATTAAAATAACATTTCCTCTGTTCATTAGTTACCTTTCCAGTCTTTACACACAAATTCCATTTTGATTTTTTATTTACATAAAGAATTTTTATTCACACCAAGAAATAGAAGTTATACTGTTATGCAGTACAGTGGTACCTTGACTTACGAGTGCCCCAACTTATGAGTTTTCCGAGTTACGAGCTGTCGCTCGGTCGATTTTTTTGCTTTGAGTTGTGAGCCAAAATCTGAATTGCGAGCGAGCTTCAGATACTCCGCCACTAGTTGGCGGTGTATCTGAAGTCAAATTTAACTCTGTACCCTGAGGAATGTCAGGTACTTCGTCCAATCCCACATGCTCTTCCAAGACATAACTGAAAGAATAATACTCCCACACTAATCCCAGATCATAGTGAGGCACTTCATTCGTTGTTTGGTTCTAATATAAATCCGGGGAAGAGGTAACCTCCATTTCAACACTCAGAGTTTTTCCAGAAACATTAAGGTGGGTGGAGTAGTGATGGTGGTGGGTGGAGTAGTGAAGGTGGTGGGTGGAGTACCGATAGTCGTGGGTGGAGTACTGAGGGTGGTGGGTGTAGTAGAGATGGTGGTAGGTAGAGTAGTGAAGGTGGTAGGTAGAGTAGTGAAGGTGGTAGGTGGAGTAGTGAAGGTGGTGGGTGGAGTACATGTACTGATAGTGGTGGGTGGAGTAGTGAGGGTGGTGGGTGGAGTAGTGAAGGTGATGGGTGGAGTATACAATATTTCTTATTTATAATTACATTTTTCTCATTTAAAAACCCTTAACCAAAAAATTGGGGTGGTTTTTTGGAGGCTGGAACAGATTAATGGGATTTCGGTTAATTTAAACAAGGAAAATTGATTTGGTATACGAGCAAATTGAGTTATGAGCTCGGTCACAGAACGAATTAAACTCGTAAGTCAAGGTACCACTGTATTGTAATCCAGTCTCTCCATACTTAGCGACGTGCTCGTTTACCAATAACTCAGACTTATGACAGGCTCTCTGACAAGTATACATACCTAAATAATGTATATTAGAGCTGATTTCCTCTTTTTTATTATTACAATATACAGTACACTACTGTATAAACATTTAAAAATATACCACAAATGTTGTAAATGATGCAAAGGTGACATTAACCCTTAAGCTGTCCAAAAGTAGATCTTTGTTCACTCGCGTAGCACTCCGAACGTAGATCTATGTTTTATTTTACATTTGAAGGCATGTAAAATGAAATGTAGATGTACATTTGGACAGTTTAAGGGTTAAAACAATATCAGAGATGGTTGACACAAACCCACTACCATTATAGTATGCTCCTCACTTAGTGATGAATTCGTTTACTGATGTGGTCTTAGTAACGGAACTTCATTGTTAAGTGAGGAGAGGCTGTAATTGTACAAATAATATCAGCGCATTCGTGAACACATAATAGACCCACCAGGTGACGTGTATTGGACACATGATGGGATTCGTTTACTCTTGAATATTGGCAAAAATCGAACATTTCTGCTACTTTGAGCTCAATATCAAACTATTTTCAGCCCTAAAACCAATCAAAAATCATCTCTATTTCTGTAATATATCTTCCATTCTATCAGTTGAGACCAAGAAACCATGAATACAACCATAAAAACCTCATGAAAATACACCACAAAGTTATTGTTTTAAACCAAAAACACAGTCTCAATTTTTTGTTCTTATTATACACTGCATGCTGCAGGATTTTTTTTATATGGTTCACACTTAGCCATGTGGACCCATTCTCTCGTATATAGGTCCAGAGTTACTGCTTATAGATTATCCGAGTGAACTGAGTTAATGGCATAGAACTATGGCACTGACACTGGCTTCAAAGCTGTAGAACTATGGTACGGACCCTGAAAGGGTTAAGGAAAGAAAGTGGTTCAATTAGTCAACAAATACAGTAAGTCAGTTGCCTCAGACTTTATCAGGATTAATATTTGGATCATCCTCAGGTCATGGTAACACTGTTGGCTGTCTTCCAAGTTAGAGTGACCTATAAAAAAAATTCATTCAATAACTGTCTTGCTTTACCCCCTTTTATTCTACCCACTACCTTACGCACTTTCCCCACATTATCTCTGGCTCTTCCTTACACTACAAGATGTCTCCCTGCCCACTGCATGAAATTGCTGCTTCCCTTTCATCATCAAAATTTAATCCTTTCACTGTGTCTCACTTCGATCTACACTATCAAGGCCTGTGGTTATTAATTAATTTCACTTTTAATAAAAATTTGTGAATATAATAAAAATTAGGATTATATTTTAATATTTGTTAATTGTGTGTTGTAGTGGATGCAAGTACAGTAACTGTCACTGAGCATAAGAAAATAGCACTGGTCATTTTCATATTGCATTTCCTAAAATTTGACAGAATGCTCCAGTATTTTTCCTTAACCATTTCAGTGGTTGTCATGTAGAAATATACATCATTGAGGCCAAGGTCCCTCATGTAGTTCTACATTATGAGCTCATCTCACTCTTATAAGCTGTGAGTGGTAAATTTTGGCCTAGACATGAGGTAATGAGTGTGAGGTGAGTGTGCACACTACAAAAAGAATTCTGCCTCATGTGTTCTGTGACAGGAAGAGGAAAACTCTCTGACAATGTGTGTGGTTTAACCTTTTGAGGGGCCAGAAGAAAAAAATGCTTTTTCTTATGAAATGGTAGAGAATCTTTTTCTGAAAGTAATAAAACAAAAGTATGGAATTTGATGAAAAATTGATGAAATTACACTATCACGAATTTTGCTGTGTCAGCGATATTAACACATCAGTGATTCTGCCTACTTGAGTCCTATTTTAGGCCAATTACATTGTTCTAGTCAACCAAATTCTTAGCTATTTTGCTAGTATGCCTTCCATTTTAGTGACTGAGAACAAGAAACTGCCCAGTCAACTATTTCAACTACCCAATAAAGTGATGAGAAATTGGTAAGTGTGTCCAATTTCACACAAATTTCAAAATATGGTCCAGAATACACAATGCAGGTATTCCTGGCACTAAAATAACATTTCCTCTGTTCATTAGTTACGTTTCCAAGCTTTACACAAGAATTCCATTTGATTTTTTATTCACATAAAGAATTTTTATTCACACAACAAATAGAAGATTTACTGTTATGCAATAGTAAATAATATTAATGCCTTCATGAATGCATATTAGACCCACCAGCTGACATGTATTGGATGCATGATTTAATATATTTACTCTTGAATGTTGGCAAAAATCGAACATTTTTCCCTACATGGAGTTCATTTTCATGCTGTTTTCAGTCCTGAAACCAATCAAAATCATCTTTATTTCTGTAATATATTTTCTATTCTATGAAATGAGACCAAGAACCCATGAATGCAACTATAAAAACAATATGAATATACACTGCAAAGTTGCTGTTTTAAATCAAGAAGACAGTTGCAGTTTGTTTTTCTTCATTATTCACTGAGTGCTGCAGGATTTTTTATATGGTGCACCCTTACCACATACTCATTCTCTCATATCTAGGCCCAAATTTACCTCTTATAGCTTATCTGAGTGAGCTGAGCTCATACCATAGAACATTGGCATGGACCCTGGCTTCAAACCCGTAGAACAATGGTACGGACCCTCAAGTGGTTAAAATACTGACCAAGATGTTTTCTAGGATGGTTTTTATTGCTGAAATAGAGATAAATTTTGTTGTTTTCAGGATTCAAAGTAGTGGAAATATTAAATTTTTGCTGATTTTCCTGAGGATACGTAAGGCTCCCCTTACATCCTCTGGTCTGTTTTATGGGTTTTTTAATAGGTCTAGTTCAATTATTGGGATGCCATAAACCATGACTAGTCATTCTTTGTTTATTTTATTATCCAGAAAATATTGTTACTCTATTTCTGTGTGATAGTGAATTAAAAAATGGAAGGCAAGTATCATAGAGGAGATGCCTGGGGACATAATAAATGAATAGAGGAAATGTTGTTTTAGTGCCAGGAATGTCTACAGTATTTATTTTGCACTATTTTTATATTGGTACTTTTTAAATTTGTGTGAAAATGAACAAATTACCAAATTCTGTGCACTTTATAGGGTAGTTGTAATAGTTGAATTGGTGGTTTCTTGTGCTCAGTTGATAGAACAGAAGGCATGCTAATGAAATAGCCAAGGATTTGGTCAAACGGATGTAAAGTTGATGAAATTGCCAATGTGTAAATTGTGCCCAGATCACTAACTTTGCACTTGTGTAGTTCCTTAAGTTTCCCTTCAAATTTTGTACTCTTGATGTCATTACCTTCAGAAAAAGATTCACTTCCATTTTAAAAGAAAAATGCTTTTTTATTAATTTTGGGGGTCTGGACAGTGTAAGGATTAAGTATTACTGTTGTGTTCTTATTTTTTTCTTGAATCATAAAATGTTCTGTAAGCTGTATGTATTTATCTATTCATTTATTTTTCAGGTTCCTGCACAGTGACCACATCAATTGTTTGATAACCCCCTCCCCTAAAGATCATCTCTAGATTTAGTGTTTGCCTGGAGCATGGAGTCAGAATGTATTGTGCCTTCTCAGTTTAAGCTTATTGAAGTGGATATGGCAATAATTTCCATTTCAGGCTAAAACTTCTCCATCCTCAAATAGAAAATCAGCAGAGGTTCTTCGCAGCAATTCCCAAATTGGTTCATCCTCAGGGGCCATCATAGCAGCTTTAATAGATGCAAGGTCAAGAATTATTGAAGAAATCCCCCGCTCAACTTTTCCTGGTTGACAGGTCAGAAATTACTGAGGAAAAAATAATAACCAAATCACTATATGTACATAGGAATAAGTTAAAGGTTTTGGAGTCTGACATTACATTTTTTTTTTTTTTTAACGCAATTTACCACTGTGGCAGAGTTACCCAATAATAATTAACCCAGTTACAGTATGTAATACTTTCGAATAACACGTTCAAACACTGGAGGAAGACCGTATAGCATGCCTTATAAATTTAGGGGGAAAAAAAAAAAGCTGGGAGTGCAAAGTGACTAGTAATCGATAATTACTTAACAATTACACAGCCTACCTCTAACAGTCATTTATCTACCCTAGCTGTATTTATGGTTGTGATCATAAAGTGCGAATAAGTAATTGAGAAAGTGAAGAGATGATTTTGTGGTGCCACTATGAGTGATGTTTCTGATTAGTTAATAAATAACAAAAAAAGGCACAATACCGTGACTGGAACGATACACAAATAACCCGCACATAGAAGAGAGGAGCTTACGACGGCATTTCGGTCCGACTTGGACCATTTACAAAGTCACACTAACAAGAAGTGGAGCAGGACGGCTATATATAGGCAGGAAGAGGTAGTGGTGGTGGTAGTAGTAGCAGTAGTAGTAGTAGTAGAAGTAGTGGGGAATTAAGGAGGAGGAGCCAGAACAAAGGAGGAGACAGAACAAAGCATTGTTAGTGTCGGCAAGCCGACACTAACAATGCTTTGTTCTGTCATGTCAGAGATCACAGCCATCCTATTGACTGGTCTTCCGCTAAAACTGTCTTCCCTACTTCCAACTCTAACAGTCGCCGTCTAGTTGAATCCTTTCTAATACACAACTTTCCTTGTATGAATCTTAGTCCTGGCTTCGTCTCTGTAGATGCCTTCCTCTCCCACTACATTGTAAAATGCTCCAAACTTCAGAACACTCGTGACTTAACCTGATTCCTCATTTTTCTTCTTCTCCCTTTTCCCCTTTCCTCTTTCCTTTTTTGTCTTTCTATCTTCTGTCGCGTGTTTCTGTTCCTTCATTATTTATTTCATCACTTCCCCTTCCCCCCACCTCTGTGCACTTGCTCTCCCTCTGTGGGCACCTAGCTTCCTTGCAGTGCTCCCCTTTCTTTGTATTTGACTGGCTCCTCCTCCTTAATTCCCCACTACTTCTACTACTACCACTACTTCTACTACTACTGATACTACTACCACCACCACTACCTCTTCCTGCCTATATATAGCTGTCCTGCTCCACTTCTTGTTAGTGTGACTTTGTAAATGGTCCAAGTCGGACCGAAACGTCGTCGTAAGCTCCTCTCTTCTATGTGCGGGTTATTTGTGTATGATTAGTTAATATTACCACCAGAAAATAAATTCTAATGAAATATTTTACTGATTAGATTTCATGTTGTATGGACTCTGCCCACCACTTGAAGCAAGGTTTTTGGAGCTCTGGAATCATAGCCCTCAACCCTTTCACTATTGGTCACATTGGTCCACCGACATAGATCTGTGTTGGTCACATAGATCTATGCATAATTCATAGCACTTAAATTTGCTGAACAGAAAATTTTTGGCTTAGACACGAGAGAATTTATCCAAACAGTGGTTGTGTGCAGTATACAAAAAAAAAAAAATCCTGTCTCATGCAGTGCATAATGGGAACAGCTAACCTCTTGTCTTATGTTTTGGTTAAAATAACGACTTTGGTGCTTTTTCTAGAGCAGTTTTCATGGTTTTATTGGCTGTTTCGTGGTGTCACTAGATAGACTGGCAAACAACAATGAAAGGGAAAAGATTTTGGTCAGTTTCAGATTGGAAATAGACCTAAGAATTTCAGAAATAGTCGACTTTTAGTGATTTTCCTGGGAAAGGATAGGGCTTCCATCCCCTTTTCCCCTCTGGTCTGTTTTATGGGTTTTTACTAGGTCTGCTTGAATTATTCTTTGTTATGATTTATTAGCTGAGAGATAGGAAAAAGAATGCCAGATTTTTGTGTGATGATGGCTTGAAAGCGGAGAGCAAGCGTTATATAGGAGAGCCCATAAATAACAAAAAAAGGCACAATATCGTGCGGGTTATTTGTGTATATAGGAGAGACCTGGGGACATAACGAACAGAGGGTAGGTCGATTTAGTGGCTGTAGTATCTACAGTGTTTGTTTTGGGCTCTTACGGTTAGCTTCTTGTGGCCAGTGGATAGTACAGAAGAAATACTAGTGAAATAGCCAATAATTAGGTCAGTTTGAGCACTGGAATTGGCCTAAACTAGGCCTCAGAGTGGGCAAAATCACTATGTTAAGTGCTCCCAACCTCAAAATTTGCATGTGTAAATCTGTATTACACCAAATTTTGCATTTTTTATGTTATTGTCTTTAGAAAAAGATTCTCAACCATTTTAGAAGATAAAATTTTGTTGAAGGGGCTTCAGTTTGAGATGTGTAGACAATGAAAATGGTAAATAACCAACCACCACCACATAATTTTATTACTACACAATAATAATAAATTTTTCTTGGTTATTTCTTTCTCGAATACATTCATCTTTAATATTTGTTAGGTATAGGTGTGCTAAGCTCCTGTATGTTGGGTACAATTTGATTAGGAAATGTGACTTATTTTTACTATTGTTGGCAGGCCATGGTGGTGGTATCTAATATTCTTTACCACATGTTTGTACAAGTATTATTCACGGCCAGATCAACCCCATTCATGCACAGTTACATATCAAAAAGCAGCTGCAACCATTGGTACAACTTAAGGAAATGTAGCTTATTTTTACTGATGTTGGCAGTAGCTGATACTGTCTGCCACATGTTTGTGCAAGTATTGTATTGGCCACATCAACCCTTTCCACATTTCCAGATCAACAGGCAACAACAACTACAAAACTTGTTTTTCTTCTTTAGAAGTGTTAGGACCATAACTCTATTTTTCCATATATTCTTCAGTTCACTTAAGACAATTTCATTCAACATGTTTTCAGGAAAATAATTACTGTGATATTTGAGTCTCTGCTGTATCCATATTTGACTTAAAATACCAAATACTGGTTGGATACATGTCATATGTTATAATTTGTTTACATGACCTACCTTAAAATGGTTTGCATTTTACTTTTTTCCAACATTCCTTGCATTTGGGTATAAAATAAGTGTGTTTTTAATACAGCCTCTCCTCACGTAATGATGGAGTTCCATTCCTAGGACCACGTCAGTAAATGAATTTGTCGATAAGTGAGGAGCACACTATAATGGTAGTGGGTTTGTGTTAACCATCTTTGATATTATTTTAATGTCACCTTTGCACCATTTATAACATTTCTGGTATATATTTAAATGTTTATACAGTAGTGTACTGTATATTTGTTATCAATAGAAGAGAGAAAATCAGCTCTAGTATACATTATTTAGGTATGCATACTGGTCAAAGAGCCCATTATAAGTCCAGGTCGTCGGTAAATGAGTACTTCGCTAAGTGAGGAGAGGATGTACTGTGTAGTTATTTAATACCTGCTGTATTATGTTGGCACATGAGTTTTTGTGATAAATTAAAAATTTTTATTCATCAAGATCAATTAAATTTTGTCTTTATATAATTTAAAATATTTCTTGTATAGTATGTATTTGTAAATTTTCCATGGCAGTATACAGTATAGTATGTATTTGAAAATTTTCTTTGGCAGTGTACAGTACTATTTTATATGCCATACAGTAAAACGTTTTGCAGCTATTTCTATTTTAACAGAAACTGACTTAATTTATTTCCCCCAATTGTGAGAAATTTTGGTTAAAAGCTAAAATTACAATATGCTATAGGGATGTGTGGAATCGGCCAGGTTCAGGTAGGCGAGTGTTTTGGCCACTTGTTATTGTGTGGCAGGCATGCTTGTGTCTGAATTAATCTGAGAGGCCATAACTGCCAACAAGTGATTACACTACTGTAATACTGATAATTATTGTGAAATATGCTAAGGCCAAGGCTAACAACAGCTTAGTCAAAACATACTGTTTTAGAATGTACAGAAATCTAGTACTATACAGTACATGTACACTATATTTTTCACTTACTTTTGTGTATACACACAGTATAATGTTTGAAAAGTTTGCTTACAACATGAGGTTGGGAGGATGTTTGTCATCCACCCATCTGCTGTGAAATACAGCAGATGGGTGGAGGCTTTTCTCATTCACTTTCACTGTCTGGTATCCTCATTAGAAGCTATTACTAAATTTGAAATACAGTAGACCATCATTTAGCATGAGTTTATTTGGCACGATTTGAGTATGGCACTATTGAAGAATTGCAACACATTTTTATGTAACACGTCGTATGATCAATTTAACACGATTCGCGGGAGGGGAAAAAATTTTGAGTGCGCAGTCGCCTGCGGTGGGTTATACCATTGAGGCAATGGGGAAGCCTACTGCCATTTCCCCTGCCACCCACACCCACCCCCACCACGCTCCCAGCCTCCAGTTTGGTTCATACGCGTGCAGGACGAAGGTACTTGGGAACCTAGCTGTGTTTATTTACATACATATTCTCTTAATTTCATTGCCATTTGTTAAATCTGCCAAGCAATAATGGCACTCCAGTAAGCATACAAGTGTTGCTGAAAGTGACAAGAAAAGGTTTAAGCATTCAAACCTAGGAATTGCGAAGAAAATTGAGATATTAGACAAGCTTAAGAGTGGATCATGTGTGGTGGATATAGTGAGGGCCTATGGCCTTAATGAAGCGTTGGTTCGTACAATGAAAAGGAACGAGGCGAGTATACGAGCTTGTGTAATGAATAACCCAAGATGTCATCTCATGAAAAGAATGACACGTAGGTCCCAACAAGCAAACAAAACAGAAAACTTGTTGCTTGAGTGGATTGAACAAAAGACAAAGAAAGGTGCACCACTTAATTTCCTCTTAATTAGGGAAAAGGCCTTACAGTTGTTTAAAGCAGTGTGTGATAAGGAAGGAAAGCCTGAAAAAGAATTTGCACAGGCTGATTCCACACCTTTAAGTTGGAAAATAAGTTGCATAATATTAAGTTTTCTGGTGAAAGTGCTTCACCTGATCAAGCTGAAGGAGATACCAGGTGAGGGTTTTGAAGATATGAATGAAGACGATGTGAATGAGCTCTTAGAAGATGATGATGATGAAGACAGGAGTCCAGAGAAAATGTTAGCAGAGCTCGATGCACAGATACAAGAGAGGGACATAACAACAGAAGAAGAAGAAGAAGAAGAAGAAGAAGAACCTGAAGAAAAAGAGTTAACATTGCATCTGTTACGTGAGCAGTTCCATATTATTGGAAAAGTTGCAGACTTGTTCACTGAAGAGGACTCTGATAAATCTAGAAGCAGTGCTTTGAAATGAGGTCTAGACCAGCTGATGATGCCTTACCATCAGCTGTATAATGTATTGCAGGGTAAAACAGCCCAGAGAACCATTACAGAATTTATGCACACTCCAATACAGCCATCGACTTCAGTACCAGAACCACTACCATCCACTTCTGTCGACAACCAAGAACCATCCACCTCAGCCCAGTAGGGCCACACTATCCATATCCACTCTCTCCACAATCATCCACACACACCATTACCCACAATTTAAGGTAAGAAATACTATTATTTCTATTGCATTTGTAGTCTTAAGCAGTAATATATCACAACAATGAACTACAATTACATGTTCACTTTTATTTTTGTAAGAGCTGTTGGTCTAAAAAAAGTTGTTTGGCTTTTTGGGGGATCCCAGGAATGTAACCCTATTTTTCCCACAAGTTCTTCAGTTCATTTAGCACGATTTTACCTAACGCGGCATTTTCAGGAATGTAACTACCGTGCTAAATAACGGTCTACTGTAGTCTTTACATCTATCTATGATGGTGATTGTTAATGTTTGTAGTATTGTACTACACTTATCCTTCAAAGAAACATCTTTTCCTCACTTTAATTAAATACTGGCCTTCTTGATATATTTTGTATCTAAATCATAAACTAAATTGGTTTCACTTAAGCAGTATATTAAATTTCTTTTAATTTTTCATCAAAAATTTAATGAAAATCATTTGATTTATTTACAGTCTGCAGTTGCATTATAATATTTCAAATGACACAAACTGATAGTGTACAGTGCAATATATGCATCTTAACATGAGCAGTGTCTGGGCATGCTTGCCTGGTACAGCAGAGCATACAGGTTTTAGACTACTGTATTTGAAAATAATAGGATTACTATAGTATAAATTTTAGGATCATGCCTTTATTGTTGTAAATAAGTTAGCTGAGACTGGCATTAGAATCCAGGTATTAGTACTTAATGGTAATCCCCACCCTCTTTTTCCCTGGGCATTGTTTTCTGTAATATAATGCAAAATGTTAAACATAACAATAAAAACAATAATGAAAAAAATATTTAGAATATGAATATGAATCCTTCCCATTTTCCAGGAGTTGTATGACCCCTGCAAGTTTAGCACTGTCCTGATTAAGATATTACCTAGGTATTAGAACTGTTTAACATGAACAGTTGGTTGGTAGTGACCACTATACAATATGTATCTGAAAAAGAAACCTGTTAAATATATTGCACTGCAGGATTGCTAGTCTCTTCTCTCTCTCTTCCTAAACATGTAAATCTTAAAAACTTACTTGCTTTCAGTATTCAATTATCCCCCCCCCAAAAAAAAAATTTGTGCTAGTCCTACACATGAATGCAATTTGAAGTGGTCTTAGTGTAAACAAGAACACTGCAAAAAATTTATGGGGGACAAGTGCACCAATAGGTACTAGACAGACGTATAAGGGTAAAGAAACTTAATGGCCCTGGTTACATCAAAGGCAATGGGACTTGCAAAGGTGTCACCATGGATTTTGCAAGAAGGACCAGAAGCACTGTCCAATCCATTAGCCAAGATCTACAAGAAGTTGATGAATATAGGACAGTTGCCAGAGATCTGGAAGACAGTGAATGTCTCCATATGTAAGAAAGGAGGCATTGAACTACAGGTCAGTTTTTCATGTATACCATGCAAAAATATTATCAGGAGACTGGTAGAACACTTTGAGAGAAGTGGTTTTATATACAGTAACCAAGCATGGGTTAAGAGATGACAAATCATGTCTTACCAACCTATTGGAGTTCTATGACAAAGTACAGTGGACCCCCAACTTACGATATTAAGCCGTTCCTGAGAGCCCATTGCAAGACGAAATGATCGTACGTTGAATTAATTTTCCCCATAAGAAATAATGGAAATCAAATTAATCCGTTCCTGACACCCCAGAGTATGAAAAAAAAAAAGTTTACCACATGAAATATACATTTTCCTACACACACAAACAAGGAGACATGCATAATAGCTGTATATTATTGTGTAATGAACAATAAATGACACCTTTGTTGAAGATCTACCGATGAGTGATGGGATGGGAGGAGGGGAGATGATGTAGGTTATTTTTTGGAAGGGGAATCCCCTCATAAGGACTTTAGGTAGAATGTCCTTTCCTGGGGTTACTTCCCTTCTTCTTTTAATGCCACTGGGAACAACTTGACAGTCACTGGACGTCTGTCACACCAAAAATCTTTCAATAGAGCTCTGTACCTCTTGTTCCTTTAAGATTTTTCTAAAGTGGTTCACAACCCGGCTTGCAATAGCTGTGTCAGGGTGGTTTTCATCCATAAAAGTTTGCACTTCAAGCCACTTTTTGCACATTTCCTTAATCTTTGAAGAAGGCAACTTCTTCAATTTCTCTCTCCCCTCCTCTGAAGCAGTTTCCTCAGGTCTGGCCTCTTGCTGTTGCAGATGCTCTTGCAACTCATCAGTGGTTAGTTCTTCATCGTCCTCCTCCACCAACTCTTCCACATCTTCCCCACTAACCTCCAACCCCAAGGACTTCCCCAATGCCACAATAGATTCCACAACTGGCATAGGCTCTTGCGGGTTAGCCCCAACCCCTTCAAAATCCCTCTTGTACACATTGTGGCCACAATTTCCTCCAAGCAGAGTTCAAGGTCCTCTTAATCACTCCCTCCCAAGCCTTACCTATAAGGTTTACACAACTGAGGATACTAAAGTGATCTTTCCAAAACTGTCTTAAGGTCAATCGAGTGTCTGAGGTCACTTCAAAGCACTTTTGAAACAGTTTTTGTGTAGAGTTTTTTGAAGTTGGAAATGACCTGCTGGAGGAGAGGAGTGGTATTAGGAAGCAAAAATCTGACCTTGATGAAGCTCATGTCCCCAGAAAGTCGCTCTGCCAAGTCTGAAGGATGACCAGGAGCATTGTCTAATGCCAGGAGGCACTTAAGGTCCAATTTCTTTTCCAGGAGGTAATTTTTCACAGTGGGGGGGCAAACACATGGTGAAACCAGTCATAGAAAAAGTCCCTAGTGACCCATGCCTTACTGTTTGCCCTCCACATCACACACAAATTAGCCTTGAGGACATTGTTTTTCCTAACACTCTGGGAGTTTCAGAGTGATACACCAATAAAGGCTTCACTTTTGCAATCACCACTAGCATTACCACACAACAAAAGAGTAAGCCTGTCTTTCATAGGCTTATGTCCTGGGAGTGCCTTTTCCTCCTGAGTAATGTAGGTCCTGTTTGGCATTTTCTTCCAAAATGGGCCTGTTTCGTCACAATGAAACACTTGTTCAGGTTTCAGTTCTTCACTGTCTGTGTACTCCTTGAATGCCTTCACATAATTTTCAGCAGCTTTTTGGTCCAAACTGGCAGCCTCACCATGCTTTATCACACTATGTATGCCACTACGATTCTTAAATCTCTCAAACCAACCTTTGCTGGCCTTAAATTCACTCGCATCACTAGTTGCAGGCATTTTTTTAATTAAATTGTCATGCAATTGCCTTGCTATCTCCTGATATCTGTTTTTCGTTTATCCACACCAGTAACAGTCTCTCAATATTTTCGAGCACTTGTGATCTGCGTTTTGTAAAGATACTTGCACCTTTTGCAACAACAGCTTCCTTGATTGCCTGTTTGTTGGCCAGGATAGTAGGATGGTTGATTGGGGTTTGTTGCACAACCTGGCCAGCTCAGAGGCACGCACTCCACTTTCATACTTATTTGCCATCTCCTTCTTCATTTCAATAGTAATTTTCACCCTTTTTATCACAGGGTTGGCACTAGAAGCTTTCTTTGCACCCATGGTGGCTTATTTAGCAGTTAGAAGCACTTAAAAAACTTTAAAAATAGAAAATGTTCCGAATCTATGCATGGGAGCGACCACTCTGGCTTGTAAACAATTGCACAGTAACTGAAGGCAGGCCAGCTGAGGCGCGCTCAGGCCACACACACACGTGGACGTTTACCGGACGAATGCTGTAGGTCGAGTTTTTCAATGTACGTCGGGGTCAAATTTTTATGCTGAAATGCATCGTAGGTCGGTTTTAACATAGGTTGGGGACATTGTATGTCGGGGGTCCACTGTAACAGATGTGAGATGAGAGAGAGAGGGATGGGGAGGGATGTATTGCATTTTCTTACCATAAGAGGGTATTTGATATACCACAAGAGGCTGTGGCAAAAACTTGGTTTAGTCAAGAATAATAGAATGTACTCCAGTGGATCAAATAGTACCTCTGGCTAAGGGAAGAGTTACTAGTGGTATTCCATGAGGAACAATATTGTTTCAAGTTTGTTAATGACATTCTGGATGGGAATGAATCAGATGCATCCCTGTGTGTTGATGTAAAACAAATAGAATAAAAACATCTGAGGAAAGGGCAAGACCCCAAATTAATCTGGATAAACAGGAAGTTTGGTCAGACAAGTGGTTACTTGAATTTAACCCCAGAAAATGCAAGGTTATGACGATTAGGAGGGGTTGAATTCAAGCAACTATTTATCTCTTCAGTTTTGTTGTTTGTCCAGTTCCATTTGGGAACTAGACAAACAGGAGGTTAGCACGGGCCTGTGCTAACCTCCGAAGGGTGGAAGAGATGAAAGTTGGAGGCAGAGGAAGCCAAGAAGTCGAGCAAGTTCTTTATGGCCTTCTTTGAAAAGCCCAGAACAAGTTTGACACGTTCCATGGAGTCGCCTGCACCTGTTACAAGTTTGTTAGGATCCGAAGGTGGATCAAGTACGAATATGTAACAATCTGAGAAAAAAGTAAAGTCAGATAAATCTGAGTATGACAAGATTAAAAGTGAGACTGCCAAAGAGAATGTGGACATGACAGGAGGGTAAGACAATGGTGGTGGTGATGATGTTGAGGTTATTGACGAGATTTTGACCCTTAAATTGTCCAAGCTTAGATCTACATTCACGTGTGTAGTGCTCCTAACGTAGATCTATATTTTTTTTTACATTTGAAAGCATGTAAAATAAAAGGTAGATCTACATTCGGAGCTCTACGCACATGAATGTAGATCTACATTTAGACAGTTTAAGGGTTAACTGATGAGATTGAACCTGATGACACTGAACCTAATGAACTGGATGGTGTTGAGAGCCTTGAACTGTCATACAAGAAGTGATTGAACAGCATGACTCTGGACTTCTGAGGTTTGATAAGGATGCCAGAAAAGCAATTCTGCCTGATGCATTAAGAACAGAAACGATAAAGCTGGGTTCAAAGTATTTCCAGAACATTGATGGAATCTTTCTTACCATTAAATAATTGCTCATGAACAAAACTTATTTCAAGAGGAAATTGGGAAATGAGCTGGGGTGAGGAAGTGACTCACACATGGCTGGTCTATTTCCCTTCTAAAAAGTCTGCATTTTGTATCTGTTGTCTTCCTTATCCCCAGTCAGACCATCAATTCTCACTGGAGCAGGGAAGTGGACTCAACCAGTGGAAAGCACCTAAAAGGATTAGTGTTCATGAAAATGCTTAGAATCATCGGGAGTGCTTCACACAGTGAAAAGAAATTTAGCTGAAAACAGAGGAGTTATTGACTTGGAACTTCAGTCACAGATTGAGAAGGAAAAGCAGAAGTGTGATATCTTGACGAGAATCCTTCACTGCATAAAATTCCTTGCAACTGAGAACCTGGCTTTGTGAGAACACAGGGAGTCACTTCAGCTAGATGATGACTTTGATGTGGGAAATTTCCTGAAATTTACTGAAACTACTGGCCATCTTTGACCCTATCATGAAAGAACACTTCATTCCTGTGGAAGTCATCCTGGATCCACGTCTTATCTTTCATCAGGTGTCCAGGGCGAATTCATCCACATGATGGCATCTACCATTCGCCAGACTTTACTAAGAAGCATTTGTAAAGCCAAGTACTGTGGTTTCATGGTTGACTTGATTCCTGATCAAGTACACCGTGAGCAAATGTCAGAATTAGTGAAGTAGTATGTGGAACTTGATTTTTAGAGGAAAACAGTCTGTGTTAGAAAATACTTCCTTGGTTTTATCCAGATATGCCAGAAGGATAC